TTTAGCGACACATTTTTATGTATAGTTTACAAAGGTTTAATAAAGCACACTTAACTAACCTGACAGAGGGTTATTTTAAAAAAAAAAAAAAAAAAATTAATATTATCTTAATATACTTTTTATATAATTAAATAATTTCAAATAATAATATAAGATATGATACCCAAAAAAACTTTTTTTTTGATAATATTATATTTAAAGCCTTTGTTGATATTAAAAAAATTTTTTTATTTGTTTTATTAATTATTTTGAATATTTAGAAAAGATTTTTGAAAGGTGACTATTGTATCTTTGATGAATTATATCTATTTTTTTTTTAGTTTAATAAAGTTATAATATATTGTAAACTTTGGCAGACTTATATTTTTGTGTTTTTTTTTTTATATTTCACACTTTTTTATTCAATTGTTATGATATTATATTATAATTTTATTTTAATTGCGAAGTTCTAACTGAAAATAAAAAAGTTATTACATTTGTGATAAGTTTTTTTAATTACGTGATACAGTATGATTGGTTGAGAATTGAAACTAGTAGAAGAATCCAATTAACTATCAAATGGAGCATACATGACTGCTAAAGCGGTAAACCAATCGTACCTTGAAGTTTGATTAGAAGTCACCTGGAATTACGCAAATAGAATCCTACCATTACAATTTTCTGTTTTCTGTTCCAAACTGATTGTGATTCAAATATGGCAAATAATTGACATCGACGGTACGGAGAGTCCCATTCGCATCCTTCCATCGATGTTATATTACAATTAAAGACGCACACAAAATTGGCATATTTCATTGTTTGTTTTATTTGGAATTATGAGTAATCCACGTGTAACCACGACGTATAACGACGTATAACGACGTATACAGCGGAAATCCAGATTTGTAGTTGTAGAATGGAACCCGTAAATTTCGAACACTGCCTGACGCATACTGTATAAGGTATGTTTTTCTTGGTTATGATGGTTGAGAAAGCAAAAAGTAATGCCGGGTTGTTTTCGCATCCTAGTGCGTGCGTATTATCCTTGCCTGCATATAACGTAGTAAGAATGCGCATGGGCATTATTTTGACGAATGTCGCGATCATCTCGTTGCGAATGGATTGATTTTTAACCGGGTCGTTCTTTGTTCCTAGCGTAAACAGCAAATACGCACTCGTCAGATATTCATTTTATTTTTACATGATTTCCCTGAACACAATAAACAATATGTATTACTCTACTTGTATCTCGTCGAGTTCTCCCACCAACGATGTTATAAGGTTTTCAATAGTAAATAGTACGTGTATACACGGTGATGTATTATTCGTTGTGTAGGATATTCACCAAGGTATTATTCGTCGTCCAGTGTATTCGCAATATATCCTTATGCCACGAACACATCGTTGTTCCGAATCAGAGAAAACATGGGCATTAAGTAATATAATATATGCTGTACTTAAGGGACCACTGAATTGAAACGAAACAATCCCCCTGAAAAACGATATGACTAAGGTTTTAGAGATTAAATTCATGGTGTTGTAGAGGATTTAATACGCTTCTACCCGAAGAAATCAGAAGTTTGGTTCCATGGGCGTGTCGATCACACTTTAGGTATAGAGGTATGCTAGTTCATGCTCTAGAACACAATAATTGTATCACCTAAATGTTTGCCCTTTGTCCATGAAACCTTATGTAAATTAAAACTTCAAATTGAAACAACAACACCTTAAGCAAGGACCTTTCAATTCCATGACACATGTCTCGAAGATTGCCAACTACTCATTCTTTTTTTAAACTATCCGACTCAGGATCCGAGGTTACACGTGGTTCCGGGTATGGTCCTTGTACTGTATAAATCAATGTGACTTCCCAAACAATACAATAAAAAAAAAATATTAATGCATAAGATCATCGTCAATTCAAAAAAAAATATATGAACCAGGAAAACAAGAGGATCTACATGCGTCTTCAAATTGATTCTACATCAATACTTTTTTGGTCAAGTTTTATGCACTCCTTATATTCTCTATAAATACTATCGGAAACCTTTTTCTTTCTCTCTTACACCTTTCCAAAAACTCACCAATATGTCCTCGTTCTCTTTTCACGGTCTATTACACCTTCATTAATTAAAAATAAATAAATTTCATCGGCAAAAAAAGACCAAATTATGATAGACAGCGAGACTATTATCATTTTAGAATTCAATCAAATCACCATTTTCTCATTTTAATCATAAACAAAAATTTTCAGCGCAATTCATAAACCAAACCTTTATAATAGAATTTTAGATTTCTTTGAGAGAGATCAAAAGCATCCATCGCATTATAAATAACTCAATCACCCATAATTAATAATATTTAATCTAAACGCGGGATGAATAGCATCATAGCTGTCGACATATTGATCGATAATGATGGAAAGTTGGTGATGTACGGTGCCCCCAACAAGGACTCCGTTCATATAGTTTCTGGAAAACTGCGCATAGTCCTCTCCAAGCCGTTAAAAACAAAATACGTTTCTATAAAACTAAAAGGTAAATCGGAATACTCTGACTGGGAGAATCAATATTCCTGCATTAACATCTTGAAACTCGACCAAATTTTGGTGGAAAGAGATACCTTGCCGCGCGGTGTTACCGATCTAGACTATGAATTCGCGGTCCCGGGGAATATCCCACAAACTTATGTTACAAGTTTTGGGTTGATTAGGTATAAATTGGTGGCGATGGTACAACCAGCTTCATTGTTGGCGAAGTATAGTAGGGTCGAACGAGGAATACATTTTGCCAGACATTACCTGCCGTGCAGGCGGGAATTGTTGCCAGCACCGCCAACCAAAGTCTACAGAGGTAGGCGGAAGAACATATTGAAATATGAGTTGGATGTTCCGACGGTGGTATGCGTAAATGAAAAGAGTTTTCTGGTTAGAATCAGATTACTTCCGTTGAATGAACAGGGAAGAGTGAAAAGTATTACCTTCGATTTGGTCCAATCGGAAAAGTATAGGTAAATTTTATCATTACGATCAATGTCAGCCCACCATCCGAGTGTCGAGCATACAAATACTTACTCACCTCTACCTTCTTTGGACATAAAACAGGGTCCAACCAACTCCACAAGATCTAGTAGATTTTGCGATTGATAGTACCCAGCCGGTGGGTAGCGTACAACTGAGCGGCTCATCGTCCACAAAACGAAAACGCACTCATCCTATAAAACCCACCACCCTAAACATCATCTACGATAACGACACCTGGAACAATCCATTAACCTACAACCTCCCGTTCGCCCAATATGCCAATCATGGTCAAAGTCAGTCGCACAGGAGTCGCCTCAAGTCCACCATAAAGTCCCCGTTAATGAAAGTCCGTCACAAGTTAAAGTTGACGATGACCTTTGAGAACGAGTTCGAGAAAAAACTTGAAATTGGCTTCCCAATAATAGTCACCACCATACCCGAAGTCGATGATCAATCGTCGCGCGAAAACGGTCCGGATTCTGCTGGTTTGCCATCGTACGATGATGTGATGGTGGATGACTCACCGACAGTTGGTTACTACGACAGTGAAATACATTCGAGACCTGCAACGCCAGATGACCACTCACCATCCATTCATTCGGATCCATCTTCCCGAAATCAATCGAGAGCCGGTACACGTCCTACCACGCCGATCAATATTTACGAAGACGGTGGTAGCGCAAGTGCGGATAACACTCCTGGGAATTCATTCACATCTTCAAAGAACAATCACAGACCCTTTCATACTGATTACTTCTCGTATAACCCATCGACCGCTATTAACAATGATAGTGACAGCGACAGTCATGCGATTACCATCAATGGAAACGCTACCATAAGAAACTTATCCTCCCCGGATCTTCATCAGCCATTGAGGAAAAAGAAGAGTCAGCGTACACTGGCACAGTCACTTGGACGCTTTCTATTGCGCAACGAATCACTGCCATCGTTGTCGTTGAATTCTCAGAGTGTATCGGCGTCGACCACGCCTACGGCGCTCGCGCCTTCTCAATCCCCTCCAACACAGACTAATCCTTCCCCACCAAGCCTCGAGATTACATCTCCGAAATTTCAATCCAACACAGATGACCATATGCAAACTTCCTCGTCGTCATCTACCTCAACGTTAAGACCATTGAGGAGTATGACATCGTTGACGACCAATAACGATGGTACGTTGATGTCACGTGATCGAAAAATAAGCAATTTGTACGCAACACGTGCGGGCCGAGCAAGTTGGTACCTCAATATGCCAGACGAAGATGATTTGTTACGTCAGACACCCGAGATCCGTAGTGCCCCGAGTAGCCCTCGCTTAGCCGGTATTGAGATGAATTTTAATCTAGTTGATATTAACGATGATAATTCAACTAGAGAAAATAATCTAATGGTTCCCGAGTTTTCTAGTCATGTGATAATTAAATCATAAGAATGTTGACATCCATTTCCCAGCTAGCCACCCTGAACACCGTAATGTAAAATTTTTAATAATATTAGTAATAAAATTTTAATATTGTTTGTAATATATCAATACAATGAATAATATTTTGTAATGCAATGCGGCATTCTCTCTAGACCATCTTACTTGCATAATACTATGTTGGATTGATGTTTCTCATCAAAAAGTAGCGCTCAACACAAAATCCATATATTCAATACAAGGTACAGACGGGTGACATCGCATTAGGGTGATTTTTATAACACAAAAAAATTAATACGCATATTTTTTATTTTTTATATCTAAAAAAATAAACTACCAATGTGTTGTATACCCCTTCTTTTTAATTACTTCTTTTACATGTTTAGGCATAGTATCTATAAATTTCTTAATTTTATCAAATGCAATATTATTCTATGCTGTAATAACTGCCTCTTCTAAATCAGATTCGTTGTGGTTTTTGGTTTGCGTAGATCCAGATCTTGACTTCCCTCCATATATTTTCAATAGGGTTAAGATCTGATAATTGTGGAGGCCGCTCCATTGTCTTGATTTTAAGTTCAGACTTCATTTCTTGCACAAGTTTACACTTGTGAATTGGTGCATTGTCTTCTTGTAAGACTGTCCTCTCAGTAGATAGAATTATTGTATAAACAATATCCAAAATAAGATCTCCATACTCTATTCTTTTCATATTAGATGAAGTGCAAATTAAATGACACAAATCATATCCATTTACACATCCACAAACCATAATTGATTTGTGTCCACTCTTAACCATAACTTGTGTACAATTTGGGTTATAGAGTTCATTTTTATAACACCAAATTCTAATTTTTTCACTTGAATTAGTACTTATTGAAGATTCATCAGTTTACAAAACTTGTTTCCAATTTTCTTTAGTCCAATTCTTGAATGCTCTAACCTATTTTAAATGTTTTTAATAATTAGCTTCACTTATCATGGGTTTCTTATGTGCCATATAAGATTTTATACTATTTCTTTTTAATACTCTTATTAAAGTATATATAGATATAGGGGTTGTAGTTCTATGTGAAATTTCAGTAGTAAGTAAATGTTTTGGCAATTTTCATAATGATGAATCAATCTTAATTTCTCTTACAATTCAATGCTCAAGATATTTATTAATAATTGGTTTTTGTCTACTATTTCTTCTTTTTAAGTAGCTTGTATAGTTGGTTAATTTTCATCAACCAATACAATTTTTAACTACTGTCACAGATCATCTGATTATTTGGGAAATTTTCGTACAAGACATATCTTCTTTTTTAAGTATTTTTATCATATGACATTTCTCTTTTGTCAAATCTTTTTACAACCTATTTTCACATATTGCATGAATTTTTCATATCAGTACTTATTTAAATAAATAAACGAGACAAAAAAAAATTTTTTTATTATTACAAACTATCATATAAGTATATAATTAATGCTTTATTATTATGATTTAGATTTTCATTTGTATGTAATTATTTTATTATCACCCTAATGCGATGTTACCTATCTGCACATACAAAATAAACGAAAAAATTTTTTGAATTTTAATATTTTTTAGCATTCTGTTAAAAATTAATTCAATTTCTTATTCAATTTTTTCCATTAATCAAATATTAAATAAAAATTTTTGAAAATATATATACAGTATATATATATTTGGTATTCTTTGTTTGATTGTATAAAGAATAATTAATATTTCGCAATTTCAAAAATAAAAAAAAAGATATATTTTTTAAATCCATAATTAGGTCATATTATATGAATTATTTTATTAATTATTGAATTGTTAATATATAATATATTTAAAATTTAAATAACTTTTATATATCAACACTATCAAAATTATGATATTTGCAGCTAAACTATTACTAAATTTAATTATTAAAAATATTAATATTACTATTTTGGCAATAAAGTGACAATCAAATATTTAACAATAAATTATTAATAAAATAATAGATAAAATATTTGATAATATTTTTTTTTAACCCTTAATTAGACTAAGTATATGTGTTTTATTAAATGTTTGTATACTTTACATTTGAAATATTTTGCTAAAACTAAATCTCTATCTAACTCACTTGTTTTTGTTTTATGAATTTTCTAAAACTCTAAGTACAACTTCGGAAGTGATTTATTACTCCATTAGTAGTTAAATAAAAATCTTTTTAATTGTTAACTTTATAATCTACAGGTAGTAATTACAATGGATCAAATTGAATTGGATTTTAACTAGATTTGATCCAATCTAGTTTTTATAAATATGAATCGAATATGGATCTAATTCATTTTAAACTGATTTGATCTGATTCGAAATTATAACAGTTTAATTCGATTTGATTCGAATCTGAATTTAATTTGATTCGATCTGATCTGAATCTAAATCTAATTTAAATTCGATGCAAAAACAATTTGAAATCAATTTGGTACATTTTGAATCTGTTTTAAAGCATATTCAACTATAACTATTTTGATTTAACTAAATTAAATTAAATATGTTTAAATTAACCTGGCTTTATTTTAATAAAAAAATTTTTAA